AAAGAGTGTGCATATGCGCATGCATGCATAAATGAGAGGGAGCAAGAGAGATCATAAAATCAATCCTTTTCAAAATAAGAGGCAATTGGCAAACATCAACTTATACAAAGTCTAGAGAACACAACCATTAAAATTTCTTTCTTCTCTTATTTTGTTACCTTACTTATGCAAGTTTTATGTTAATCAACTCAGAAACCCATCCTGAAGGGGTGGCCTTCATCTGATCAGGGAAATTAAAAAAAAAAACAAAACACCAAAACAAAAAAACCCAAAACAAAAACCAAGGTGGAGGCACAGGACAGGATCAGAATACCACATACACAAAAAAAGTGGAATGAATTAAAACGCTAATGAAAATGAAAAAGCAAGAGTGAAGTAAAATCCAAGTCACACTAAGACATTATAAGGTCTCTGATCATGATGACAAAGAAATCAGAAGAATTCAAATCATCTGTATCCCACCTATTACCTTGAGCAGATAGTCAAAACTACATTAACACATTCATCCCACATTAAACCCTTTTTGGGACCACATTTGCTTTTATTCTAATACTTGTCAAATTAAAGTAAGAGGCAACTTTTAGCCTGGTTTCAACAGGAACATCAATACAAGGAGATAGCAACCAGAAACATTGTGTGAATCCTGACTCCAGGAAGTCAAGAATTCACTCCACCAGGAGCAGCTTTCTGTGACCAAGCCTTTACCCATCATCTCTTGTATGCAAAAACACTAGGACTGGAAAGACATTTATCTAATAAATGCATTTACTACTTTACCTCTGTCTGCACCTCTAGTCTCCGGAGAACTACCAGCTGGATCCTCCCACGAAGGTTCCCCTCCATGGACATGGAGCGCCTCAGTGTTTCCATAGCCTCATGATTTGACTTGCCCAGAAGTGACTCCCCATTTACTGCAACAAGCTGATCATTTACTCGCAAACGACCATCCTACAAGCAAAAAATAAAAAAAAATTTTTTTTTTTTAAATAAAGAATTATTAGGCAGAGGTGCCACACACAGGAAAGCAAGATGCAGACAATCAGGCATTACTCTCTAAAATTTAAGAAACAAGAGACTGCATAGTACCAGATCTTTAAAAAGAAAAATCTTTCTGTCCATTAATTGACCATTTTTTCCTCCATGTACTACATTTTGGGAAGAGTAGGAGAATTACAAACATAGAAGTGCATGCATATGCTGCTGTTTTTCTTGCATGTACAATTTAACTTTTCTAAGTTCTAAAAAGGAAACAGAAAAGGAGCTTCTGGTCAGTTAAAAGGACTGACACCACAGCTTTAGTATCCGCAGTGCAACTGCAAAGAAGTACTGCAACATATTTTCCATGCATTATTATCTGCTATTAGGGTCTGTTAAGAAACAGCTCCAAAAATTTCGTCTTATAGTCTCACTAGCATCTATCTTGTCACATTTACCATGCCACCATATGGGGTAGTGTTCTTAGTTCAGAATGGTCATTAAGACTTAAGCATCCTTATTTTAATTAATGCTATCCATGTATTTTAACATCCAAACCTGTTGCCAAAAATAAAATTATGGTTAAGCCATATCAAGTAGCCTATGCTTTGAAAAAAGTCAATCAGTTTCATTGCCAAGGTTAACTGACATTTGCAGGTGTAATAAAATTGTGGACACTGCTATTTTGTGATCTAGGAGTCCTATGGCTGTTGTCATTATTATCTGTGATTTATTACTTTTCAAAAAAGCATATGCCATGGACTTTTCTCTAACACGAAAATAAGGTCTATTTAATTAAGAGATGAGTTTCTTTTAAAGCTTGTCAAATTCACAGTTATCTGATGGTTGGCATCAGACCTCAAAGAAGGAAGAGAAAGAGTGAGAAACTGAAGACATCCAACATAGAACGACAGTGAAGAAAGAATAGCAGGGAAATAACTTGCATAGAAATACATTGCTTGGTTAAAAATGAATCCGACTCATTCACATGCTCATTACATACTCTTCATAAGGCACTCGTCCGAACTGTTTATGTATTTCATTCATCTGAGTAATCCAAAATATATATACTTTTAGATTTTTATTTTTCCTATCACTAAATTGTTCAATTAACTATTCTGCTATTGCTGCCAAGTCCAAGTCATTTGTGCTCAAGTGAGTTACAGTAGCTGTGACAAACCCAGCTTTCTTAAGTGTTATTTTTGTTGGAACTGGGTATCGTCATTAGCGCAGCAGAGTACGAATAGCCATGGAGCTGAAGAACAACAGCATATACCAGAATCGAAAATAAACTGGGAGGGACAAAAAGATGGAAAGACAGAATTGGGATGAGTCACTCAGTGAAGGAAAATTAAGAGATTTTTCTGGGGAGGATATGGGAACAGCAATACCATTTGGAAAAGATACCAAAACCTCTCCCACTTCTCTGCTGAATATTTCATGCCAACATAAATTTACATAAAGCCAAAGCCAATAGGTTAACCCCACCCTTTCTCTACATACCAAATGATGCCATCACACATGCTGAAGTTTAGGGAGAGAAGAGGTAACATTGTCGAACAGAGAGTTTTATTATTTGCACATGTTGTAATTCCTTTGTGTTCTATCAAAATTTACTGAAATGAATGGAGCCATTCACAGCAACAGGAGTTTGAGGAAAAAATATTTTATTTTTCGTGAGTTTCTGTAAGACTTTGAAACTTTACAGGTTCTCATGTCCTCCTGCTATGGTCCCACAGATTCTTGGATTACTTTTTTTCCTTTCTGTGGCTAAACACCAATGTATAAGTATCTGTTAAAGCTTCTTACTAAAGTATATACAAATACACTGTCAAGTGCATCTTGTCATGACTATATCTGTTGACTATGCAACAGTCCTGACCACAATACGTATTTTTAAATGAATCACTGCAGCCTCAGAAAGCTCTGAACTGCCCTGATTTTTAATTTGCCTTGTAATACTTTTGTATGGGACACTGTATTTATTTCTTTATATTTTTATCATGTCAGTTCCTTAAGAACTTCTTCTGATGCATTTCCGTTCTTCCCGCTCTGTTACATGCTCCATTTCAATGCAAAATTTAACTTGAATTCAACACTTCAACTATGATCAGAGAAAAAAGATGCACGTGCTTTATAAATGTTGATCAACTACACTTGCTAAGTCACCTGTACGAGGTAGGCTGGAAGACAGCTGAACACTGGCTTCACACATGCTCAGGTAGAAGTTATTTCACAGAAAAACCTTTTGCTATTTTAAAGACTGAGAAAAAAATCCCACTATCTAAACAGTTTCCAAACACAGATTTTTCACATCACTGGTGTTATGGCCTGGTTTAGAAGCCTGAACAGCAAGACAATCTGCTTGGCTCAAAACAAGCTAAATGTTGTTTTAACACATTTTTTCTTTCATCTCCGAAAGGTAGGTTTTCTTTGTGGCTTCCGAGTAGAAAAAAAAACATTTGGCATTTCAGCAAAACAGTTTTCAAATGCCATCTCTGAAACTGCAAGTGAGCTGTTCTAATAAAGGGTGAAGTTATTGTTCCCTTGCTTATTGAAAAAAATTTGTTTTTCTTTTATGGAGACTCACAGCAAGGGGTAGAACCTACCACCACATGGCTACCATATTCAGTCAGTCACAAGACTCTCACACTTTTTACAGTAAAGTAGGAAGATATAATGCCATGTTCTTCATGGACTTATGTTTTTAATCAAAGCACACGTAGTTATCTCCCTTATCACATCAATGACATTTCTCTCAGAAGTTCCTTGATGCCATTTAGTAGAATCATCCAATTTCCCCATTCACTGCACCCAACAAACAATGTTTACTGCAACAGCACTCAGAAGCTCCACAGAGGTTCAAGCCACACTGTGTTTGATTTGAACAAATGCACACACAGAAAATATTCCATTATTTCTAATAATGGCTCTGCTACATTTCAGCTGCAGTAGACAGCAAGTACCTGATTATCACAAATGCATCACAAGTGAAAAGCCAAGATGTCTCGAGATGAACAAGGCTGAAATCCCTAAAGTTATGGGGAAAGATGATGCATTTAAACTCAATCAAATGTTAGTTTTCCTCACATGAAAGGCTCTGCATAATTACAAATATCAAGTATTCTAGTAACCCCTTTATCTTCGGGATGATAAAAAATAGACACTTCAGAAATTACAAAAGGAGGTTAAGAAGGGACATAATGGTTTAAAACCATCAAAAGTAACTTTTTATTCCTGAAGGATACAGTGTTAGAATAACAACTAAGAACATTAAAGCATTTTACTTTGGTTTTGTAGCCAGAGCGGTAAATAGACACTGGGTCTTACTGTAGTATGTATGACGCAAGATGCATTGATATTTTCTAAAATCTTTAGCTAGGACAAAAAAAATCATAACATATAGAATTAAAGACTTCAATTTTCCCTTATGTTTTTTTCACAACTCCCTTACTGTGCTTTGCAATGCCACCAATATGAGAGCTAGATTAATGTGTTAACATTTCAAAAATTACTAAAAAATGTTGGCCTCTCTTCAGACCAATAAAGGATAACAATAACCAACCAAAATCGTCTGCATCTCATAATATAACTCTTCACTCTGAAAAACACATTGGTGAAAGAAATTTAATGCATCAAAACCTTTATACAGCACTAGAAAGACAGCATTTACTTCAGCAGTGAAACAAATGTGTTGAGGTTCAATGAAGACAAGTGGTGATTGCATAGACAAGGGGATAAAGCTCCTCCTTAGAGTAGGATATCACAAAATCAGAACAAATTTTAAACTCTAAATGGAGAAGTGAGAAGTAGTGAGAGAATTCTCCTATCAGTGAGCATTATGATTTCTTCCTCTGACAGTTTCCCAAGAAAAGCTTTGTACACTGAAAAGCAAATGCACATGTCTAAATCCATAATATTCCATTTCAAAGAGTTACAATGAGTAGTATGGGAAAATGCTCTGGACAACTACCAGCTGGAAAGAAAGGCTTTTTATTTAAAAACTTGCTACAAGAAGACATTTAAAATAAGGACAATAAGGACATATTTAAATATTTATGCACACTTTTTAACTTGATACAAGAAATTTTATTAATTGTTAATACCCACTGATGTTTTGTTCTATATAAAGGTGATTAGACAGGAGAAAGACAGCTGTTCTCCATGCATATGCAACAGTAAACTGTGGTTCTTAAGACGTTGCCAAAATGACTGCATTCTGTGAGTACTTGTATAAAACACATAGACAAGATTCTCTGAACAGGTCTGGTTGAAGCTAGAGCCTCAGCTACTATCTCATTTGCTCTGGAGCCTACACTCAGCTCTATTACTACACAGTTCTAGTTGGTGAAAGGGTTATAACGAGGTAGAACAGAGGACAGGGCACAGGACCACAGGTTATCACCAGACAAAGTAATCATCCAGTCATGGTGACTAACTGTGCCCGTTGTCCATTTACTTAGGTGTGAGCATGGAAGTCCCGCTTTGTTTGTCTGCAGACCTCTCAAGCCAAAATTAACTGCTCTGGAGTGAGTAACTATGGGAGAACAGAGAGAGTGGTAAACATACAGAGCTAGAAAGGGCTGTCTTATGTGTCAATGATGCGACAAGTCCAGTAGCCAGCCCACTAATGCTGCCAGAATATGGCTCCACAAGTTTTGCTATTCAAAACAATGAGTTTATTTGTGGCAATACACACTGTCACTGCAACTGGTGTGGACAATTACTCAGGGAACACAGAGCTGGAAAAGCAAAGAGGGCAGCCTCATTTTCACAGTAAAATGAGTTGTACTCTGTAGCAGACATGCACAGGAATTGAGTTTATCCAGCCCTAATTTGGTCAATCGTGCCTTAACTAATTTCTGATATACACCAAGTAAATGAGCTTACTCATTTGTCATTTAGCCCCAAGTTAACTATGGACAGTGTTCTGAACTGCATGTACCAGGCTCAGTTACGTGAGAAGATCTGAGCTTTGAAATAACTGTGGGACTAGGACAGGTAAATAATAGAAGCAGGGAAGTATAAAACATTCACATCAAAGCTAAATCCTTGATTATTGCTATTTACCAGCTGCTGCAAATAGATGATCATGAAAGTTTTAATGCTATGAATTGTCTTACTCAGCAGACTGATATCAGCAGAGGAATTTACATACACTGAATTAAAAGGTATTTTTACAGTAAAGAGAATTGCGAGAAATTGCTGAGATAACGCAAGAGAAAAAAATACATTCTGGATCCGCAAGAGTTAAACATACTAACCCTGATAAATTAAGACTTTTGTTTCTAATCTCAAGTAAACTACTTTTTGAAGTTTTATTTGGGAAAAAAGAAAATGCAGTCAACAGATTTCCTAAAGATCAGAAAATAATTCAAATAATTTTTAATCATAAAAATGTACAACAGTCCTTAGAGGGAGCAGAACAATTCATAATACTGTCATTTACCAATTTAATACTGCCAATTCAATCCACCTCAGGAACAACTGGTAACTTCTGCACAGTTGATGCCAGGCTCAGCCAAGCCACATTTTTACAACGGTAACAAATATTTTGAATAAAAGAAAGAAAAGTATAAGCTAGCTTTTTATTTACAGCATAAATTAAATACATAATCCTTAACCTCACAGAACTGTCAATATCTAATATCTACTATCTATCTGTACAGTAGTTCGTCTTTTGATTGTTTTTATGGGTCTGCCTGTATCATTTTGGAAGGACCAAAAGCAGTGCAGAAAGACAATAAATGTAGATATCTAACTTCTCTGTCACTAAGCATTAGAGGCACACAAACTTTCCCATGCACTCCTGTGGGCTGTGGGGAAGCGGGGAAGCAGCCTCTCCTCACACCTACATACCCTTAAGCCTTCTTCCCTTCCCCATTTCCTGAACATTCCCCAAAGTTTCCACCAATTCACTTTCCTTGTGGCAAACCTCACCACATGTGACACCAGAATCTTGGAACAAAACATTAATAGATTTACAGTTCACCTAAGTGTTCAAAGGCCAGGTTGGATGGGGCTTTGAGCCAACTGGTCTGGTGGAGGGTGTCCCTGCCCATGGCAGGGGAGTTGGAACTAGATGATCTTTAAGGTCCCTTCCAACCCAAACCATTCTGTGATTTTATTCTACAATTCCAAAGGAATAAGTGACAAAAAGGGTATTCATTCCTAGAATGCTTATCAAGTGAAATTCAGTACTGAACATAGAAATGTCAGAATTCTAATGCAGTCATTATCTGTTGTGTTTCCTCCGTACCTTAAAAGCAGCACCTCCATGAATAACAGATTTGATGAAAATCCCAAGATCAGCTCCACTTTCCCGAGATTTGTTGCCTTTTAAGCTCACACCAAGTCCAGCAGAGCCAGAATCATTCAGAGGAATCTCAAAGGTCAGCTGCTCTGTGGTTTCTGGAGAAAGAATACTGCAGTTTGGCTCTCCTTTCTGTTAGGGAAAACAAGGATGAAAATATTGGTGAAAAGGGGGCAGAGACAATGCATAAATTAGTTGTATCCATAGGTCCATGTGACAAGAAATAGTCCTGTTTTCCAGAAAGCAGCTTGAAGAAGCAGCCTTATAACCAATGATGGATTTAGCTGACATTTTGTCACGTGATCTGGCTTAAAATGTTATTTTTAATGATATCTAGAAATATGGCTAAATAGAAGGTAAAATGGATTAGTTCCACATGATATAAAACTGATGTTGCAGCAGAATGTAAGAGACATTTATTTTAAACACAGCTGCATTAAAAATGTAAGCCATAAAACTCTCAACATCTTTACATGCAGCTCACAAACTGTAATGATAGTTGTACTGTTAAATCCTATTCCCCTCTGAAAATTGAGTTTCATCCTTAAAAAATTATCCTTCCCTTAAACCCATCCACAGAGGGAAGTTGGTGTAACAAAAGCAAGGGTGAGAATTGAAAACACAGTAGCTTATTCTGCACTAACTCCCTTTCTACATACTTTTATTCCAGAGAGGTTTGGGGTTTTTTTCCTTCTGGTAGATTCCTAGATTAGAATGCTGTTTAGAAGACTGACATGTCAAGTATCCATAGCTAGGGAAGATCCGAACGAACTTTCTTTTACTGTACACTGTATCTCTGGTTTTATAGGGCTGTAATGTTGGGTGTGTGGGGTGTTTATTTAGTTTGGTTTTGGTTTGTCGTTGTTTTATTTAAAGCAGGTTAGAATAATGAAATTGAACAAAATCAAATTCTAGCGTGAAATATTTATACTGGCACACTACAGAAATAAAACTAGAACAAGGAGACCTACTATAAAGTGTTCATGGAAGGCATCAGGGGAAAAAACTTTGTGTATCACATCTGATTTTATTCCACTCTTCCTTCTCTATATAACTCTAAGACAATTAATTTATGTTTCTTGTCATTTGGACATTATCTATTCTTTGTAATAGTAGTGTTAAAAATTAATAGGGAAAAAAACATGAAAAGGAAATACACAGACAGGTACAAGTTGAAAAAGATGACTGGGGGCTGCTTTCAAGGGTGTCAAAGTCTTTCGTTAAATTATCAAGTAGAGTTCACACACCAGGAGTGCAGTAGCTGGGCCAATCCGCCTTTTACCCAACAAAGGATTGTTTCCAGGCCTAAGTTGCATTATATACATTATCAATGCCATAGTCAGCAAAATGTTTTCGCAGCAGCCAGAATAGTCTCATATATTCATCTATTATGCTGTCTGATCAACAAGAAATACTATCACAGAACTAAAAGCAGATATTAATATCCTGAAGCAACAAACAATTAGAAACAGTAGCCACTAAATATACTTCCATTTATTTCAGATGCCCTTTCACTGACGAGAAGCAGCTACCAGCTAGAGAAGAATTGCATGAGCCAGAGAGCTAGGACTATAAACCTGAATCCCAATATGCACCATGCTCAAATTCTTCCTGGAATGTAACTACATGTACATGATACTAAGGCAACAAAATTTGCCTAACTGCCAAAATATAAAAATGACATAGCACCAACACTGACAATTGCCTGGATGCCAGCACTCATCTCCAATACCTGCGTTACTCATTTGTGCTTTTGTCTTTGTTCACCAGAAGTAAACAATTCTCAGTTACAAATCTGTCACTTATTTCTTAGGTGTGGATATAGAGACATCTGAATGTAATCCCCCAAAACATACAAATTCATACTTAGTGCTGTGAACAATACAGAATGATAATTTGTAAACACTCCTGCTCTGACTTCCTTCAAAAGAATCAGTGTAAGGGAAAACCCCGCTATTACTGGTCTTCTAACATCAGCATTTTGGATTTAACTTTCTCAAGGTTTTAGAGGAAAAAAAATTCACACATTCTCATTAGCAGACTCAGAACTCAAATCAGAGTTCTACTCAACTGGCACATCCTGTCCAGATTTGAACAGTGGAAATTTTTCTCAAGGTCCCAGACCTGTGATGTCTCCTGCAGCCCCTCAGGACAGTCTATTTCATATTATATTCATGATCCCCTAGGCAAGCAGTCAGTTCCTGTGTGCTACTACTACTCTTCCACTTTAATCCATCACATCTGCGCCACACTCTTGCCCCTTCTTTATGTCAATACTGTGGTTTTGTCTTTCCCAATTACCACAAGGAAAGCAGTGAGGGGGGGTTGCTATCACAGGACATAAAAGCTCTCGGGTGCCCATGCTTACCTTCACCAGAGCAGCAGCAAATTGCTTTATAATGTTATCTCAATATAAACTTGGACTTCATATAAAACTGAATTTGGTCACATTCAGAACAATTTTTAATGGGGATGGCTGAAGGTCAGCCGTGGCACAAAGGCTATTATTTACCAAAAAAACTTTCAAGGAAAAAGTGACACATTATTTTTCTCAAGAAAAAAAAAATATGTATTTTTTTTTTTGTTAGCATCTTTCTCAAGAGCATCTTACTTGTTTCACTTAAAGCTCCAGGATGGACATTAATTTCAGGTGAAGGACTTCATGCATTTGTTAACATGAACTTGTAAAAAACCAAAGACAACAGGGTCTATACATGTCCCTCAAGCCAATATACAAAAACAAACTAGGCAGATGAGCCTGCCTGAATTCAAGTACTCTAATCAATACCATTCTCATGTGCACTATCACTCTTGTTGCTGACCCACCCGTGATACTGGTGACCTGGCTGCAGCCCCCCCGCTGTGCCCAAGACCCTGGCAGTGTTGGGAGCAGTGGTGGTGGCTACAGGAGGCAGGACACTGTCCCCTTCTCTGCAGCACAGGCTCCATAGCAGCACTGTGCTCAGCTTGAGGCTGCAAGAAACAAGCTAGATGGATTCTAGAGGACAGCAGTTTAACAACCTTGTTTAAACTTTGGAGGGAAAAAAACAACAAAAAAAGCCTAAAAGGGGACATAATAATAGTCTTCAAAACACTTTACAGTAGCATTTTCCTCCTTTTTCTTTGCAGGCGGTTTTTGACATCAGAAATATCTCACTTAAATAGCAGGCAAGGAAATGTCGGTGAGTCTCAAAGAAAACCTTTGCCTTCAATATCTGGAGAAAAAAGACTGAGTAGGTGGTCACGAGAATTTCCCCACCATAAACTTACTAAGATAACGATATTACACATAGGTTTTCAGTGTAACTTAGTCCGATAAAAAATAAGTAACAGAGTTGTTCAATGTTCTATAATATTGCCCAGCTTCCTTTAACGTAACTATGCCGTGCATTAGCTCTTGTTAAGTAATCGACCAGATCACTGTCTGCATGCCAGGATGTGTTATCTATCAAACATTAAG